TATTGGACTCCTAGGGGAGATGTTCCACGCTCCCACCCGGCACACCTCGTAGTTCCGTGAGTTGCCCAGCAGCCCGGAGATCGCCATGGTCGGCATCCTCGACGTCTCACGGGTCGGTGGGAAAGCAGATCGACGGGTCGGCACCCCACCGGGCGGAAGGACGGGACCTCCAACCTGTGAAGCAGGACGTGACTCGTTTGGCCGATCCCCTTTTCCCGGGAACCTCCATGGATCGGACGGAAGCGTCCGTGGACGCCACGGGGAGTTAGGCAGTGGGCGAATGAGAAAGGACTTCTCGTCTTGTGAGTCCACCCAACATTGCTTCGGACCAAGAACCCCAAAGGCGTGGGCTTACTAGCGCTGTACTAGGGATTCACACCATTTACCTACCATTCGAACTAGCGAGAAATCTGAGTCTCCAAAGGACAGCGGTTCATCAAGCTATGCGATTTGCAAGGTAACAACTTAACTTGGACCAAACCCCCGAACAGAATTGGGAATTTGTTTCGGCTATAACTTCGGAATGTGTGCTTGAAACCCACTATGCCAAACGCAGTATTCCCTGCCCGGTGTGTTTGCGGTTTCGGCACCATTTGTCCAACCTATACCCACTCAATGAGTAAGGCTTAGTGTTGGAGCAACAATGCGAGTGCACCAGGATAAACGATTTTCTGCTAGGTTTTGGCCGTAGCTCCCATTACATTCGTCCCGTTATTAATGAAGGCTTTTTCCCATGGCCGCAGCCTTCCTTTCTTTTCCGGACAGCAACAAACATGGTCCACAAAGCGCTCCCCGAAAAATCTTGGGCGAAGCTTAGCATCAGCTTGCTGGATTTGGCCACGATCTTCAACGAAAACCTCAATTCAGCAGTTTCAGTGGTTTCTGGATAAAAAAGAATGGTGTTTCTTGTCCCTCGTATGGCACCAATACTACAAAACAAAAATTGTTCACTCTGTCTCTCCTCTTCGTTTGTCGCTATGGCACTACTGTGCAAATCCCTCGTAAGTCAGTAGGACAACACACCTAGTCTACCTTAAACCATCTTAAACCTAGAGGAATCTGCAAACAAAGCCACGGCGGAAATCCGAGAAGCATTGGCATTGCCTACAGAAATCATTTCAAGCTCCACTTGGGACCTCAAACATCCAGTGAGGTCTATATGGGCACCGTTGAGGTAAGTGCAGGCGTTCAATGTGCACTCTGGCCCATCATGTTGCTGCGGGTAGCAGAAGCGCACAAAAGAAAAACACACAAATACAAATTATCGCTAGCATGTTTCTTACCGTCGCCGTGCCTGCAGCCAGCGTTGGATCGTATTCCCCTTGGAAGCAAAACTGTGAAATTCCCCGAACTGAAAAGCCATGGGCCATCAAACCAAGGTTTTAGGTTTTAGGCCAGCCTATATTTTTTTTGTGTGTGGCCTCAGGGTCTTCCATGGGAACTATTCAAACAAACCATTGGGAAACCCTGTGGTTTGTTCTGGCTGCACCACTTCCCCCTCCTTCCATTCCAAGAAACTCCACGTAGTGCGTGGAATATTGCGAAAGGCTGTTGGACAGAAACCTCCAGCACATTTCCGGAGCATGAAACATGTTCTGACCTGCAAACCGCAAACCATGAAACAATCATGAGCCAAGAGACCCTAAGATCATGGTTCTTTGGTAAGAAAATGTGGGAATGTATGCCTCTAGCAATCCACGCTCTCGGGTTCAACAACCTCCTGGCACACTTACATGTTTGTGTGTGTTAACGATTTTCACCCACCAGGTTGTAGATCGTATTGGACCTGGCAAATGCACACAAACAGTTTGGAGCCCGGAGAGGTAGCAAGCCATCGTGCAGCTGCAATTTTGTTGCTCAAAGTTTCGCAACCAATGACATTTTCCAGCGACGTCGCGGCCGCTGATATGTGTTCAAGCCTTAGAGCGGGGTTATATAAATCCCGGACAGTTGCCCCAGCTGAAGTACATGTGTCTGGATGATTTGAAGCGGCTCAAGACCTTTGAAGGAATAAAACAAGTAGAGAGCCAGCTTTCACTTGACCCTTTTTTGGGACCAAGGCACACCATCATGGAGATTGCCAAAAACCTCGGGCGGGCGAGAATACGGCGGAACGGCTGCGTACCACGAGAAACCCTTGTTCAACACACACACTGATTCTACTCAAGCCATCCATGCATAGATTACAATTACATACAATTACTCTGCACACACTATGTTACTGTGCTGGGTTTGCAGCGGACAAGCGCAAACGGCTGTGCAAGACTTAGACCTTTTAGGTGAGGGTCTTTAGATTTTATGTCAGCGATCCGGGCGCAGCCGTCACCTCCTCCTCCGCCTCATTCTCCTCCGCCTTTCGGGCCGGGCCGCTAATTGGAGTTGCGCAATATCAGCTTGAACTAAGCACTAGGAAACGCATTGGCATGTTGCATGGGAACGGAGCCCAGGCTTTGCGCCCTGCAATGCTTGCAATTGCAGGACGCTGCAAGTTTCTTCGCTGGGTCTCATGGGAAGTTCAAGGGGCCAACGACGCTCCAAGAAGAAGGAACAAACTGAAAAGACATCAGGTCGCAGCCTCTGCGAACGTGCCCCTGCTTTAGCAGTTGAGCTTGAGGTGGCAGCATGCTGGACACATGCCCCATGACCTCCACAGCACTGTCGTCCTCTGCCGGACTCAGGCTAACCTGCTGCGGACTGCCGTCTTGCAAGAAAATTGGCGGAGTGAAGTAAAGCTTCAATGTGGCACTAAGAGCCCTGCAGCGGATGAAGGGTGGTCGTAGTACTCTTGTGAGTTCGTTGTCTTGCTACACCATGGCCAAGACCACGAGCCACCATCTGCCCTCCTCAACTACTGCCCGGGAGCCTGTGACTACAAAAGCTGGAAGTGACAGCTTTGACGCCAGCTGAAGCAAATTAGAGCCAGGTAGGGACGGTAGGGATGAATAAAATCGTCAGTCACCTTTGACGATCTAGCACAAGCATGACCTTGAAAATAAATAGCCTAAATGATGTGGTCACCTTGCACGTGCCTGCTCCCCAACGAGCATTTAAAGGACACAATGAGTCATTTCAAGGATGATCCCATGCCCGTGCCTGACTCGGTGGGGTAATAGGAGGCCAAACTGGGAGAGCAAAGCAAACGGATGCGGGAGCTGCGGACAAACCAAAAAAGGGATGAATTGCAGTGCATAGTCAGTAACTCACTTTGCACTCATATAAACCCCATTTGTGGCGCTAATGTTGTATTACAAGATATTACAAGTATTCCATACATGGATGGCCTGGGCTAGGATACACCCAAAATATCACCGATTGCACGCGACCGTTCGGGCCAAGCGGCGGCTTCCAGCTGTGCAGCGATCCAGCCAATACCCAGTGTTGCTGGCTGCGGGGAAGCAGGAGCGGTAGAAGGGCACAAAAGGCGAACTGCAGGAAGACGCTCCACAAGGTAATGCCTAACGTGGCAGGACGGTGGAAATTCCGCTGATTTAAAATTACAAGCTAGTCTCTTGGAACGTGGTACCGACCCAACACAGTGTTGAAGTGGGGCAACAAGGAGCCGAACACCCTACTATCGCTGCAATCACTGGGAACCCTTGATTAACAGTTAGAGTGGTTGCGTCCCAACAACCGGATTTGCTTGGATGTTTGTGCTGCCCATGGTGACAAACAAACCTGTTCCACTCAACCTCTACAGCGTGACGTCTAGAACACCTTGGATGTCACCGGGGCACTCGTTGGCACTTCAGACATCGTGACCAGCGCCTCATTGAGCGCCTCAAAGACCACGTGGCAAACGAAAAAGCCCAGGACGGCTGTCGCGGCACCCAGACGCGGTACATGGCTGTCCGTCATGGTGACAGCTTGGCATGGCTGGGCAAGGACTTGATGCGAGGCACTCTTAGGTAAAATCTGCTACAAGAAACACCAGCCCTGACTCTTCTGTGCAAATAGTGTTCAACAGATTTGTTAGCTACAGTTTGGCTGTCGCAAATAAGAATAGGTCAGTCTACAAACAGCTCATTTTCCAAGCGCTAGTTAGTCTGCTCTCTTCAATCCACTCGCCTCAGTCTACCGCCCAGCCTTGAGCCGGGGAAGTCCTCGGATCTTAGACCATCCCTGTCCCTCGACTGACTCGTCAACGACGAAAAGATTTGTTGGACAAAAATGCCGTCGGCCGTTTCCTTCGTTTCACGAAGTGACCGGCGAGACTGACAGGTGGCTCCAGCAGTTTCCAAATGTTTCCAACAAGGTTCCACCGACCGTTCCATGTTTGAGGTTGACCTGTACCATCAACCACTCAAAGCCAGTGGACTGAAACATCGTTTCAGGCGTAAGAAAACAGGGAGCTCAACAGTATGAAACCAAGGGGCTGTGAGAATGGCCAGTTCACCCAAGATCGAACTCAAATCCTCCGAACAGCTTCAACCGCCCCTTTTGGTGACCAGCTAAGTTCAGAGCGATGGATTGCTATTGCAAGCCACTCTGAACTTGAACACTGGGGTGGGTGGCTTTTTGTGTTCTACCCCTATAAGCTCAATTGAAACACTCTTCCTTGCGCGGGAAGCCACCAGAGAAACATGCCGCAACACAAGATCCAAGATCTGAAATCCACCGGGGTCTGTAGGGAAGATCCATCTCGAAAGGGATCTGAAACCCAAACACTCCATGTAGGGAATAGTATACGTATAAATATATATGTTAGAGAGAGAGACATAATGTAATATATATATATACACTGTATGTATGTCCAATATGCCTACATAGACACCTGAAATAGTTTCTGTGTTTTTGATCAGGGTGCCACTCCCCTCAACCAGGTGCTCTGTTGCAAGATCAGAAGAAAGCAGGAGGAAAATACATGAAAATACATGAATCGAATCAAATAAAGGTGTAGATACGTTATGATACTTTTTCAGATATCTTCATCCTCCATCTGTCAGACCCATTGGTGATATTTGATTCCTCGTCCGCCTTCCTTATCTTCTTTCCCCCTACGCCTCGTCCGCCTCTCCCAGCTCACATCCGAGACGAGCCTCGTCTCGATCCGCCGGGTGATGGCGGGTTCCCGCAGGTTTTGTCCGGTGAAAGCATGGTGGCCTGTGCTCCAGTCCATGGTTTGCCCCAAGATAGATCTCAATATGTGCCAAACCTGGACCTGGTTTGCCCAGAAAAATACTTGAGTCCATGGTTTGCCCCAATATCTCAACATATCTCATATGTGCCTAGCTCTAACCCACGATGACCAGACCCAGGACACCCACAGGTGTTTTTCTCCGCTTCGTCCAGTAGCCGGCGTCGGGGATCTGCCTGCTCTGATACCCCCCAACCGAGTATGTGACCCTGTACAGTGGGACCATCAAATGAACATAGACAGAACGACCTGCTGCAAGGAACCCATGATGACCATGTATAAGAACTTGACTCCGACAGATTGGTCAAGAGATGTCAAAAGACTGTGGCCCAACATGAGCAGCTGTTCTTGCCATGGTGCAGTTTGGAAAAGAGTGCAATTTTGAGCTCTCCGATCATCTGTGAAGTCTACTATAATTCAAGCCATGTGCGCCCCCCACGTGGTGAGACAAACTTCGAGGTGAATATGGGAGCTTGTCATCTATCTTCAAGACCCTTTTTGGGAGTACACTCCGACTCACGAACAAGGAAGTGGAAAACCCCCTGTTTGTAAAGGAAAGTAGTCTTCCCAGGGACCATGCCATCAACTTTCATGTTAGTGAGTCAGAGTGTACACCCTTGCCTCTCCTGGATCCTCACAGTCGCCTAGTGCACCGGCGCTGCAGCGCCCCCCAAAACGGTCTCAAAAGACCTTCCTGGGTGCATCCACTTGGCTCACGGAAAGTCCACCACGTCCAGAAGTTAAGGGTTCCAACCTTGGCCCCCGCTTTTCCCCAATTGAAAGCAACGCGCTTTTCGTGTTCTTCGAAAAAGGCGGGACATCACAAGTAAAGGCGGGACATCACAAGTCATTTGTTTTTCCTTCTGCTCGCCTTCTCTCTTTGGGACATTCCACGGAGGCAGGTCGACTGGGCACATCTGTGCATCCTTTGTATAGATTTCTATTATACCATTTAATGGCCGCACGGCACATTCACCATCTATTGGCATGTGGCTGATGCCTGGAAGCCAAGGTCAAGCTTTCTGGCATCGGTTCCTTCAACTCGGAAAGTTTCACAGCACGTCCCACATCGCTCCTCCAGTTGCTCTGCCCAAGACCGCTGGGTGGAAAGCCCACCAGGACCTGGCGAGTTCACCCTGCAAATGAGCCTTACAGGCATTATCTACCACTCTCCAAAACAAGCAACCGATAGCAACCGCCTAGTAGAGCATGTTCTTATCCTCCAAAATGTGGGGTGCCATATTGGTTTTTGGCAGGACAAATCTGCGAAGGCGGTTTTGTCCCGACTGAATCTGTTGCACACAATGGGAGGACAAGCGAACACTCCTTTATCAAAAAGCTTCAGCTTTCCAAGAAGAAACCAAACAACATATAATTATATGTATGTACTGATGGTTCTATATTACATAATATTACATATAAAGCCAATAGCCAGAAGCCTAGAACAGATTTTCATTAGCTGGTAGCTGGCAAATGCCCAATGACCGTCGAACTCTGGACCCATGGGAGGTCCAGAACGCAGCGCTCGCGGCGCAGAAGTCGATGGGGGTGGGATGTCCCACGTGCCGATTTCATCCAGAGGCGCGGGTGGGTCGATGTGCATTTAAGAGCCCAAGCTAGAGTCGCCAGATCAACGTCGAGCAACGCAAGAGATCCACTGCACTTGTTGACGCTGCGAGGCCTGAAGAGTAGGGAGTCGCGTTCTGGCCATGTTGTTGAGGTATTAACTTTCTGGAAGTGTGGACAGGGAACGTCGGTAACAGACCTGCCATAATGAATCACCTGAAAAGTGTTCGTTCCATCAGCCTTCATCTTGAAGCAGCATAAGAGTCTACCTCCTTGTTCGGGTCAGTTCGACATGACCGACGCGGCTGGCCTTGCGAAGCAAAGAAGCAAAGGGGCATCTGCAATCGAACCTGTCGCATTTGAGTCAACAACACCTGCAGCAATTCTGTTGTTGACTGTAAACTCTGGGTGCCTGGATAGTTTAAGTCTCAACTAAACAAAATTGGTACGAACATCCACCTGTCAAAAGTGCTTGCAATTGGCAACACAGCCTCACCAGGAACGATTTTGCTTGCTGGTTGAGGGGATTTGGTCAAGTTGACTGTCCCCCTGAGGTAACTTTGAGAATCACGAACGACCAGCAATTACACAATCAAAAAATATTCAACCTGTCTCATTGAATCAGTGAGCAAGCACCTTTAGGAAATCCTTCGAGCCATCACTACCAAAACCACTGTTTCCGCCGTTCGCCAACAGGATAGATCTCTAACCAAAACCTCCTGGTGGACATAGCTACACCCTGAGAGTTCAAGTCGGACTCATTATTTTTAACCTCTTGGCAGTAATAAATCACGACTCCCAGGCTGTCCCAGGTGTGGCAAAATGCATCAATCCGGAACTTCTGGGACACATTGTCTCCACACCCTCGTTGAAAAAAGCAATCTCCGGGCGCCCAAATAAGGTGCTGTCGTGCGTTCTTCGGGCCCATCGTCTCCACTGATGCGTCTCTCGTCATATAACCCACCAGCACCCACTCAGCGCTTACCCAACTGTCATGGTCTTAAGTCGCACTTCAATTGCTAACGGGATGACAATGACCCAGAAGCAGTACAGTACAGAAACACGATGTCACCAAGGGATGGATCACAAGAACAAAAAAGGTGGTTTCGTCCATACTTGGGTTAATACTCTAATATAGGAGTTCCTGAGTATCGGTGCCCGCATCTCGGTCAAGGAGGTTTCTTCATCCTCATGTTCAACACCGAACCTCCAAACCTCACAGTGCACCATCTCTACCAGCTGCCCATTCTCCACTCCAACGGCTTCCCATATCATCGGTCACTTGGATGATCGAGACCTAAAATCAGGAGGCTTCCTGGATCTCCCACGCCCCTCCAAGGCCATTCCGGGCCCTCTTGGCTCAACCTGCATCACCAGCAGGGCAAGCAGAACGGTTGCCACGCGGACATCCGCGTCAATACGGCAGCCGGATTGCCTGCCGCCGTCTCTTTTTTGGGGGGGTGGATCTGTTAGGGGGGCAAATGGATGAATACAGCAGAGAGAGGAACGAAAGACCGTTGAAAGACCTATATAAGTTCTTGGCCATCTTCTGTGTGTGTGGGGAACATGTATATATGTATATATCATATACTGCAGTGTACAAAAATATACAGTATATACATGTAACATCTAAACATCTATAGCTCGGTTTCACAGCCGCTGCAGCCCTAGACCCGGTCATCCATATCAAATACAGCCAGCAAGAATTGCCTCAAAAGGATCACACCGTCACCATCAGATGTTCATCCTGACTCTGCTTTTTGGGGTTCCTTGTTCCCTGACTCGGAATGGGTCCATCTGAAATCCTCTGCACGACGGAACAGGATGCTTCACCTGGACCCAGAAGACAGTGGGTCCCATCCCCATTATGCGGCAGTGGGTCAACCAGTTCACGCTCATGTTTGGTATATCCCACTACCAGCGAAGTGGATTATGATGGTTGGTAAAAGCATGTAAAGGCCGTCCCCAAATAGTGATCATCGTTTACCAACTTTTACTGGTCATGGGATACACCATATGCTCAGGTTGATGAGGTTCATCCGGCAAAGGCCTCATCTTCACCCCATCTTCACCACCACCGGAACCAATGGCGTGTGTCTCCCTTGTCGATATCGAAACGCCCTCGGCGAGACTAAGGATTACAGCGGATAGTGGAAATTCAATCCAATAATAACAAGTAAGGGGCAAAACCTCAGCATGCGCAGAGGTTAACTGGAAATTGGTTGTTTTGTGATGAAAAGTCATGTAGATGTTGGTCGTTTGTATACCACACAGACATAGACAGGCAACCAAACAAGTAAATGGATTACATATCAATATACAATAGATTCATAAATGAATGGATGAATAGGTAAATGAGAAATACAAAATATTGATAAATTGATACATTGATGGATTGAGACCATTTCCCCACTTTTTTTGTCCCTCTCTTCAGTTGCCCGATTGATACACGCCACATCTGGCCTGATTCGCATGGCACGCAGTCGCACTTCGGTCGCATCCGTGTCCACTTCGACCAAGGCCAGGTCGGGGGATGTTTGACGGCGAATCTTGATTCGGCCACTTCTTGGACTTGTCATTGCAATTTGTGTTCCTTTTAATTTGTCATTTTCATTTCGGATTAAAACCTCAAGATGGGCAAAATGCTCTATGATGGTCGCAACGAAACTCTTTGAAGCTGCTGTATATGGAAATAACAACTAAACTGATCTGTCTCTATAGTTTAGGGTGTTCACCTCAGGTACAGGGTGTACAACGCCCGCAGGTATGTTTACCTCTTTGTAATATTTTGTAATGGCCTAACTGTCGGCAGAAGCCGCGTGTTCAATACAGCAATAGATTGAGTCGTGCCGGAAACAGCAGGCAAGCAGGCAACCATTAAGTACCACCACAGGTAGCCGAAGGCAGCCCACCAAGCAACCAAAACATCAAATCGAAACATGTTGCATTCTTGGTCATGACTCCATGTTGCCCGCTCTTAGGCAACATGCAAAGCAGCTCGGCTCTGAGGCACGACCTGGTCGTAGATCTGAGGTGCTCGCCTGCGAGCGCTAGAGCCCGAAGATCAGCGAGGCCATGTTTTCTCTCGATGTGCATCACAGGAGGTGGTCAGGTGATCGACTGATGTTGCTCGGTGTTTGCGTGGTGCCTGTCAGCCAACACTGCAGCAAGGTATATAACATGTTCTGTATACAGCACAGGGATAAAGAGAGACACCACCAGTTCGACTGTTCCGTTCATCTTTATCAAAACATGGATCCTCAGTGACCAACCTCATAGTCAAGTACATCAAGGCAAGGTGGATCTGCGGATCCTAGTCATCTTAGTGACTGTATGGTGGAGTCCCTGCGTTTGTAAGTGCCGAGAAAAACAAAAACGTCTTGCCCCACTTCAGAGACCTTGGAGACCTAGCTGTAGAACTGGGTGTGCATCGTCAACCAAACATGAAACAACTGTCTGAAACGTTCATTTGTCGGATGCAGGTGTCCCGGTTGCTTTGCATTCCCGGAGCGAAGAAACAGCGTCAACACTCGTATCCCTGCTTGGTCTTGGGTGGCAACGGCAATCGTTTCAACCAAACGGAGGGAAAACATCTTGGCATCGATCATGCACTGGTCGACTGTTAGCTTCCAGACGGTGTGGAGAAAAGAACATGGAAAACATGAGCAAAGCACCGATTCCACTGCAACGGAGTCATCGCTCAAGTCCGGTTCCCCGAGACAGGAAGGTTCAGATCATGCCCTGGAATCACTGCTGCTCATGTTTATGCTATAATTGCTATCATGAAGCTCAAAGAGGCTCATGTTAAAAAATATCATGGAAGCATATAGATTCACAGATGCTCATAGGCAAAAATGAGCTTCGTCTTCCCAAAAACACACTTTGCGATCCCTCGGAGCATCGATCAAATGCGCTCCCTTTCTCATGCGCTCAAATTCAGCTTCGAATCCCGTGCAGCTCAGAACGCGCGGAGAAAGTCGTGGGATGAACCCGGCGTTCGCGTGCAGCTCTTCGGTTGAACAGCTGTGGAGGGAAAACATTCTGCAGGTTCTTAGCTGATACAAGCACAAGCAAGGAGAAAATTGGATTTGATTCGCGAATGAATGAGAATATGTGGTTTCTGCCAAGGGATGTCGTCAAGGATGTTTTTGACCATCTGCGAAAAGATTGACCAAGGAAACATGCATAGTCTGGCAAAATGTAAGATTTGTCTAGAGATTCTAGAGTCTAAACATTCATTCATCGCCAGGACAAACAGCCATGATGTTCAACCTTGTAACGGCCCCGGCTCGCTGATGGGGATCAAGCCACAGCCATACTCACGGCAAGTCTCAGCCATACTTGTCCCGGTACCTCAGATATCCCAGTCGCATCACAGCATCCACACGTTTTGTGACACAGCCTCCAAGCATGACTATAGAACTGATGGACTTGTCCTGTCAAGTTGCCGTTTTCAGGATCTGTCCATCCTAAAATACGGCCTCCCCGGGGGGCCTCCTGTTGCTGGAAGAGAATCCACCCAAATACCCACGTCCTAACCCGTGGGGATCTTCTGTGGGAAGCTCAGAAGCTGAAAACGACGGCTGCCACGGGACACGGGAAGCTCCACCGTCCGTCCATCGGTGACGGAAACCGGCCATTTGGTGGAGCCAGGCCTTCCTTCTTTGCGACGAAGCAAAGCCAATGGCCCATGAATCGTTTTGGAATAGAAACAAATCCTTCATGCATCTTCAGGCTTTGCTTCCACATGAATGAGCTGAACGGCACGTGCACAGAACTACCAGCACAAAGGCATTCTTATGTAATCTACCGTGAATACTCTTCGTTCTGGCAAGGTTCCAACCAAGCCTCTTGGACTATAGGAGCTCATTTTGTCATGTCCCGAAATCGGCTGTGTGTCTTGGGTCCGCAATCATGGGTCCATATCAGGTCCACATTGGTTCCCCTGGTCTGCAACAAGAAGCACCAGTCGTCTCCTCCTCCGTCGCTTGGCATCCCCCGAGCTCCCGCGCTTGGCGAGCATGGCATCCCTCTCCCGGCCGATTCGGTTGAACTCCTGGCAATTCGACCGCTCGGCGGTTCCTTCGCGCGCGCGCGCGCGCGCGCACGCGCCACGTCCGTGGGGGGGTCCACCGATCAGAGGATCATTTGGCATTCGGAGAGGTCGAAAACAAAAAAAAGGATCGGTCCAACAACTCCAAACCCCACCAAAAGACGTTCCCAGTAAATTGGGTGGGGTGGATTTGGATAGCAGTTTCCTAGTCGATTGTGTGTCTTTCTGCGGGTGTTGTTTCCAATGTATTTGGCTGTCTGGTTGCTAAATAAACACTTTGCCTAAGAATTCAACCCCTCAAGATGGACAGTTGAGCGACGAATGTGCTTTTCACATGGCAACCCATGAACAGTATGAAACAAGTCCCCTCATCAAAAAATGTTGCACAATCATGTGTGTATATAATATATACATATATACCTATAAATACTATGATATATTATGTATTCAAAGGAGGCCTTGGTTGCAACTGTCCAATCAGCCTGGTCTACACGTGTGATCAAATAAACTACTCAGGCATCAATCTTAGGCACCCTGCCAATAAGCCTCTTGTGATGTATGTCCTGATATGTTTGTTTCCACGCTTTCAAACTAAAAGAGTGTAGATGCTCGTGGGAGATGGATTTCAATTATTTGGGATACAATGCAAACCTGTTCACATCTGTTCACCGTGTGTCAGGAATAGAAAGCTTCATCTCGCAAGCTCTTTTCCTCTTGCTTGCTTGCAATCCCTGCGAGTCCAGTTCGTCTACGAGGCCAAAAGAGGCTTAAGAGGCAGATGAATAGTTCGGTTCGCCCAGCTTCCTTTGGATCCATTGCATCCTCCACCCTAAACCAATGGAGATCCCATGGCCCGGCCCGGCAGAACGGAACTCTCCGCGCAGCTCTCGTGATGCGAGAGAGCGAAGCTCCTCGAAAGCTCGCAAGGCACACAGGGCGTTCTCCTGCTTGCGCCTCACCTGGCCCACTCGCCCCGAGTTGGCACGCGTTCTCCCACGCTGCACGGCCAAAAACAGTAGAGTCTCAGCGGGTTTACCCCGTATAGAGCCTCAGTGGTGTGTTCTTTTGTGTTTCTTCTGGTGGTACCATGGTTTCTGAAGAGTGGTGCTCAGCGACTTTCGAGGGACCAGGTAGCTTCGAATTGATTGGGGTAACTGTCAGAGTTCTATGTCAGCAAGCGTGTCAGTGGTGTCAGTACATTTGACACTCATGTGTGCAGAACTGTTGCACCAGTTTGCAGTGTGCACAAGGATGTCACAGCCCACTGTTCAGTTTTTGGCGGAACTATGCAGCTGAAACAGTTGGCTAGAACCTTCTA